ATATATAATTTAATAACTTCATGAGAAAGTGATTGAAGAAAGCAAAACGTTTCATGGTTAGCTGTAGCTTTACTTTTACATCTGTGTGTGTGGGAGTTTGGCAATATTTGTATGTATGCGTAAATGTGAAAGTGAAGCGATGTGTACATATGTGCATGCTAATATGTATGCGTGAGTGAATATGTCTGTGAGTAATTATTGAATAAATGTTGAATATTTTCTATTTTATCAAGCTTCAATCCTAATCTTTTTTTAATATTAAAATAAAATAAAAAATAAATATAGCCATGAATTTTGTGTGTTGATATTGTAGTATATATATTTTAATTTTTTATAATTTTCATTCCAGGAACAATAAGTATATTTCTGATTACAAAGGCTTACAGCGACAATATTCGACATAGTCCAGGAGTACGTATAATTAATATAAATATTGTACGGAATTATTTTAACAAATTTCTTACAGCTATGGGCCATGGATGGACAGCCTTATTTTCTTTATAGTCAATTGGGAAAAAACTATTTAAATGCATATAGAAAACTGTATTGGTATGCGAACAGAAATCCAACACTAACACCAAGAAAACCACGTATGGGAAATATATTTTATGCGCATGGATATCGAAATTCCCCACGGGAAATTGTTCCAACTCATGGAAGTCACTTGAGGTATTTGTTCAATATGATTAATTCATTTTTTTTATTATATATAAATCAATTCAGTAAACTAGATGATGATGGATGAAATGCAAAGCTTTAATCTCTCACCTCTCTTTCTATTTTTTTCTCTAATTGATTTTTTAAAGTTAAGTTTACTTTTCAATTATTTACAAAATTTTCTATTGGACTTCTCTTTCAGAAATGCTTATAAAAATACTTATGATGGTCCATTGTCACCGCAATTTCTGCGCTCGTATTTGACTGCCGCGAAGATTTCTTCAACAGCTATGACAATGACAACGGTTAGCAGCGATCAGAACTATCATCCATCTATCCACTATCCTGAGTTTAAAAAACAACCGGAATACAAATTGAGCTCGGACTATAAAATTCAGCCTGAATACAAAATTCAACCTGAATACAATATTCAGCCCGCATACAATATACAGCCTAACTACCAAACTCAACCTGATTACAAATTGGGCCCCGATTATAATAATCTAACAATTTGCAAGAAAAATCAAAAATCAATTGCTGCTGCTGCCGACGAGAGCCAGATCATAAATGTTGCACAGCCTTCGCAGGCTGTTGAGGATACTCTCTCCAACAGCATGTCGAAAATAGATCAGCCCTATCAACCGTATGTGACCCATACCTATTTTACACTCGACGATGTCATACTTCCATATGTCCCGGAACATAATTCGACAGCTAAAACCAAAAAGGAAAACCTGAGTCAATTTGAGTCCCAGAAAGAAGAAGAAGAAGAAGACAAAACGACCTCAAATAACGAAACTCTGAATACTCTCTTTGATTTGGATCTTTTCAATATCGAACCCATTACATCCACAAGAGCTCTGATTACAACAACAGCATCAACAACAACAGCAACAACCAAGGCGACAACAACAACAACAGCTGAAGTACCACAATCAACTTTTGCGACTCGAAATAAACTTGATTTCTACACAGAATCCACTCAATTGGCGACATTTAGTCCAACTGAACCTTTGACTTTATCCAATACAACATCAAATTTTAAGAACTGGAATTCGACACTGCCCAACTTATCGCCAAGAAAAATCTTGAAGTTAGTCAAAAACTATACTAGCTCCTGCGATAATTGCCGCAAAGTTCAGTCGACTGCCAAAACTCTGTCAAATCTCGATGAAGCGAAATTGAAAAGATCTTCGAGCTTGTTCAAGAAAAATGAAGGCAACGAGAGTAAATATGGCAAAAAATTAGCAGCGGCAAAGCTAAATTTAACACAAATTCATAAGAATAAAACTTTGCCAACTTTTATAAAGAACTACTCAGTTGTTAATTTAACTACCACGACAGAGGCGACGCAGCTCAAAAGTAGGCGGGGCAAAACTAATTTCGTTAACTTAAGGCGTCGCAAATTTCATGGAAATTCCTATAATACCACGCCCACAAGCAGCATACCTGATAAAGTGGTAAAGCCTGAACTGGAAGTAAAACCCCAAAATGTTACCAGCGATGTTGGCAAATCTCGCAAAGCGAAACCGACCTCCACAACTGCCAGCAGCGTTATTTTGAGCACCTCCCCAGCTTCAAGCAAAGCTACAACTGTTGCTTCAGAATCAGCTATTATGACTATATCCAATACGAATGTTAGAAAAGTGAAAAGAATTGTTCCCAGATTCAAGAAGATATCGCCCCTCGATGCCAACGCTACCAAAACGGATTTCGCGCACACAACTGACTTGCCGCAACTGCCGATTGAGGTTTATTTCACAAAGCTTAATCAAAAGTAATTTGTATATGTAAATCTCTAAAAATCAAAATTGTATTTATACCAATATTTATTTATTATTTATTACATATTCAATAAAAATGTTTTGCTTTCTTTGAGTTATAGAATCTTAGGCGAAAATGAAAAGCTATTTTCTTATGCAGCAATACTTCTGCGGAGTAGCTTAAGCATGAATGATAATCTTAATTGATATTTAGTCAATTCCAGAAAAATGTATAGTTTTCTATCAAGCTCATCCAGTTTGATACATCCACTTAATTTAGTCATTTTTACTACAACCCTGAAATGAACTTTGAAACGCATGCGCTAAATTATATCAAATACACAAAATAGAACGCACAAAACATCAGCATCCAATACACTAGCACTAGCACTATCATATTAATAACAAAAGAAGTTATGTTCTTTAGAAAAATATCAGAGAAATCTATTTTAGTTTTAATCTTCTTATTTATGATGCTGATTCCCGCTCAAGTCGATGCTGACGAGAAGAACATCAATAGACTCTTAAACAATCAAGCTGTGGTCAGTCGTCAAATCATGTGTATTCTTGAGAAAAGCCCGTGCGACCAGTTAGGAAAACAACTTAAAGGTATATTGTTATTACAATTGGTATATATGTGTTTTTTTTTACAGGCAGATAGCAAAAAGTCAAAGCAAGACAACGAGCTGACTCAATTTGGCTATGTCCGTTTGTCCGCTCTTTTATAACTTATCATCCTCACTTATCATTTTTCGAGTATTTCATGCAAGACATTAAGATTCTTAAAGCTTTAATAATGTGCAAATATATTTCCTATATTTTGCACTGTCTCCCCTATGTACCTATTCAAACATTGAAAAAAGAAAGCAACCTCTCACCTTGACCCTTCATACATGTATATGTAGATATCAAAATTCCTAATCGGAAATCCACAACTCTCCTCATTGAATATTTCTTTTACTTTTTACTACTCTTTATATTACTTTACTATAACTATAATTTAATTTATATTTATTCCACATCAAAAACTCTTTTCTAGCTGCTCTACCAGAAGTCATAACAAGAAAATGCCGCAACTGCTCGCCCCAGCAGGCACAGAGCGCACAAAAGCTGACATCATTTCTGCAAGCTCGCTACCCGGACGTCTGGGCCATGCTAATCAAGAAATACCAGACAGCTTAAGCTTAATGCGTGTATTTAATTGTTAATCAAAAGAAACGCTCAATATACACAAAAGTCGAATAAAATTGCAAGTTTGGTTTAAGTAGATATTTATATATATGCAATTTATACGCTGTATAACTAACAAATAAAATGCCAACTACTTCTAAAGTCTAAGGGCTTTGGGCAACTCTACCGTACGTGGACAGCAATATAGTTCCAGTTATATGGAGTACGGCACAGAAAGCTGATTTTTAGAAGAATTAGGTCTCTTTCGACTCCTGCATACAGTAGAGGGAAGGGAAAGAGCAAAAGACGATAGCAATACAGAACTCAAGCAGCAGGAACAGAATCTTACATTAGTTGGTAAAGCCATCACATACAAGTGGGACTGAAGCCCACAGTCAGCCGGTAGCTAGTTTTCTGTTAGTCATTTCGCCTTCATGTGTTTGTGTCTGAGTGTGTCTTCTAAGTCGAACTCTCCATTAAGTTGATAACTCTTTATTTAAGACCCATTTGCATTAATTTCTGTGAACATTGGAAGACTAAGTGCTACAAGTAACCCATGTTATTTCAAGTGTCTTAAGCATCATTGTCATCGTTGTCGTAGTCGTCGATATCCTCGCCATCGTACTCATGCAGGCTTTCTCCGATATCGACTTGTCTCTTCTGCTTACTCAACAGCCATTCGTTGTAGGCAATTTCGTCCTCAACCGAGGGATCAGTAGTCTCAATGAAATCTTCAACTGAATGCGGAAATTCTTCTTGAACAATGGGCAAGTGCTTAAATGGTATGTTGCGCCTGCAAAACTTATGTCCCCATCCCAAGTAAATGGATTCGCATGTCTTTTCGAAAATAAAAGTGAATGCGCCAGGCCATATATTCGATTGCATAACCAAAACGCGCTCCTTTTGATTAGTATATCGGCTCGTGAAACGCACCAGCCATGGGATAACACAGTCCGGACTCATATCGCTGGCACATGATGTCAAAATGTCTGGGCCAGTCTCTGGTTGATTAAAGCCCTCTATCATTTCCTCTTCTTCGCCCTCCTCTTCACCATCAGCCTCCTCTTCTTCAACCTCTTCATCCATTTCCTCCATAAGCCGCATCTTCAAATACATCGCCAGAGCTTTCTCTCGCTCCTTGCGGGCTTTCTCCTCGTCGTACCAAACAATACGACCTTGATTTAAAATATTTGGTCTACAATGAACCCAGGCAACAGGAGTTGCTAGAGTTGCCAGGGGCTCTATTTCAAATCGTTCGTTTTTCAAGAGCATTACATCGTTATCTGAAGAGAGAGAGAGTGTTAATTGTGAAATGAGATGGACAGTAAAAATTGTAGATTTGCTGTCTATGCCATTTAATAATTACAAATATTAATGTACATAATGCATTTAGCATATCAACATATAGCCTCATCAATAATATATTCTTGAGCAGAGAGATGAGGTACTACGATTTGACTATGCGTATATGTTTGCCTATATGTCTGTTCGTATGTCTGCCTGTGTGTCTGTCTCTCTCTCAGTCTGCATGTCACTCAGTCTGTCTCTCTGTCTGCCAGCAAGGGACGAAGAACAACTACCGAAGAGCATTCGAGTTGTCTATGTGTATGCAGCAGTCCTCACTTCGTATTTGTGAGTAAATCGAAAAAGAGAATGCTTGCAGCTGCAGAGGGTGCTCCCATTGGTCAATTAAAGCTCGACTGCAACGATCCCTACTTGACGTCGGGCTCTACATTTGAGCGTGTGTTAGTGTGTGAGTGAAAGGTGCCCTATATAAAGGGCAGCAGCTGCGGCATTTCGTCAGTCTCTCAGGCCAGTTGTCCAGTGTGGGGTCAGTTGTGTAGTGCAGTAAAGTGAAGTGTGTGATCGTTCAGCTAAATATTAATGACTTGGAGGAAATACTTGGGAGAATTTTTTAAACGAATCATATATGTAGAAGACATTCTTTGAGAAAATACTGAACAGAAAACACTTAGAAGAAAAACTTAGAGGAAATACTTAGAGGAAATACTTATAAGAAATATTAGTTTACATGTTATTGTTGTCTGTTGTATTAGTCTACCAGTTACGTTACCCAACAGAATTGGCTAAATTTATATGAAAACAAGTGCCTTGGAGTAGGAGATGTGATCAATGCGAATGGGTTACCTTGAATTGTATCCTCTTCGCCTTCATTGTAATTGTCTTCCTCTTCTWGCTCCTCCTCCTCGTCGTCAAAGTTGACGCCATCAAATAGATCTTTTTCCTTCTTAGTCATACGCCTATAATAACCTTGCGGTGCGATATGAGTGCTAGCCGTAATACGAGCAATTATGGCACGTAAATAATGCTTTTCCTTGCCGGGAAAGCATGGATACGATACAATATCAGACTCCAAGTCACCAGTGAAGAACTTCTTGATTTGGCGAGAAACAACAATTTGCCTAGGCGTCACTATGGGTAATTCAATCCAATCATCATAGAGGTTGTTGACGACAAAGTATGAGTATCGATTGCAGCCCAGTCCCACTAATTCCGGTGGTATATCGTAGAACTCAATTTCCTCTGCCAAGGGCACTGGCGGAGCCTTTGGTGTCATCTTTTCCAAATCCTCGGGCGAAAAATTCTCCCATCCATAAACTCCTGGAGTTAGCTCGGGACCTATGTGTGAGGGCAAAGGATTCGGCTCTTGATTCTTTCTCATCTTGAAAGGCAGTTGCTTTTCGCGCATTTCTTCCTCCATCATTGTCAGGCGTGAGCTGATCTCCTCTCGAGTAAGAGAAGCTTCCACAATGTAGTAAGACGCCTTCAAGCCATTAATACAGCCCCAAAATCGACATTGCATTATGGACGGATGGGTCTGCAGTCGGTTAATAGAGCCTGCCAATTGGAAAATATCATCTTTGCTGATTGTAAAGCCGCACTGGTTCCAAAAGAACTGCAGCTGCTCGACACGTTCATTGAAGGACACGAACAAACGCATACTATCATCAAGATCTATTTGAAGGTCCCCATCGGCGTATGTGTATGCCTCTTCGCCAAAGTCCTCATCTCCGCCGAGGTCAGAACCTTCGGCATTATGTGGTAGCTAAATGACTAAATTGGGTAATTTCTTGACATAGACCTATTTGAAGCAAACTTGCCTTTATCGAGTGCAATATGCGCTTTGCGGGACGGAACATGCGACAGTCGGCAAAGACGGCGTTGGGGGGAAAGCGTTCCGGCACATGGAATTTCTGCTCGCGTACATTTCGACTAAACTCTTCAAAGAAATCAATAACATTCGGAGGTCGTTCGTCAACGACGCGCTTAACTATGTCACTTAAATGATCGAATCTAACAAATTTACAGATAATCTTGGCTTTATTGTTTACCCAAAAGAGTTAATCATTTTTCTCACTTACAGGTTATCTCCGCTCAATGTGCTGTATTGCTGTAAGATCGACTTGGCCACGCTCAGCTCGTAGCCAATGTGTGGCGGCTCATGGCCAGATGCTCTTTGAAATTGGGTGTCTGAGTTGAAGGCGCCAATTGAAATTGTAGTCGAGGAAGAAGTACTGGTAGATGTGATTATATTCGAGCATTTCGGCGATTCATCGTGATCTACAACGTCTCTATTGGCTATAAGTTCCTTTTCCTTCTTCGATATTGTCTTCGGCGGTGCATCTGATTGCACCGATGAAGTCGAGTCAGTTGTAAAATTTTGTAGAGATGCTAAATCATCCATTATAATATAAACTTATTTTACAGGTCGTTATGGGTTTATTATATTGTATATCTAAGTGACTTTCAATAGAAAGCCCACTATGTACAGTTAATTCTTAAAAAAAAGACTAATGAAAATATATATACCCTTATGTAACAACTCATAAATTGCAAATTTTATTTGATCCTGCTATGCTTACATAGGGCTTATTTCTTGGGACTACTCTCAGCAGCAATGGCAATGCAAACTTACTTCATTTCACTCCCAAATATCTTACAATTCAGAAGAAAAACAACACACAACAGTTTATGATGAGTTACAAAGTCATAAATAAATAGATATTTATTAGTTTTATATTTGAATTCGCAGAAATTATATTTATTCACAACACAAGTAATACAGGAAAATATTATATTTGTATAATACTTTGTGTAAGATGACGATTTCTTTTATCTGCGTATTGAGCTGTTCAACGACAAGTATGGCGAGTACGTTGGATACATCGGATTGGGCTGCGTAGCTCGCTGTAACACGCACGCGTCCTGGTACTGAGATTGCATGTTCATTACGCCCATTTGCATTGGAATCTGAGAATTGGGATATTCGCCGCCCGAACTGTACGCCGTAGCAGGAGGACTCTGCTGCGGCGACATTCGATAGCTGTTGATGGCGCCATAGTGTGACATCAGATTGGGACTGATGTGGACATTCGCCGTGCGATTGTTTGAACTGCCGCTAATTGCCGCCGAGGTATGCTGAATGGGGGCAGATGGTGTGTTTCGAGTGTTCCTGTTAGTGTTCTGCGTTGATGTGCTCGGCGTGATGTTCATGTTGCTTGCATAATATTTATGATATTGGAGGGGAGTTACTTGTGTCTGTAGCATATTTGGAGGCGTCGAAACGTTCCTGTTCTGCATTATCAAATGCGGTGGTGGTGTCATAGAATTGGGTGGAATTGGATGGTGCGGCGATGGTGCTAAATTCGATTGTGCTCCCGGGGACGTATTACATGGCTGAGATTCAAGGCAATTAGTAAGCTGTTGGAGTTTCGAAAGACTACATAAATGACCGACTACAGCTGGTGTCGTTCCCCCACTGTTCGATGATATGGACTGATCATTATTAGCTATGGAAGATGGGGGCCCTAAGGTAGTTGACACTGGTATACGAGATGCGTTCGATACGATTTCATTGGATGGCATATTATTTTGCAAATAAAAATTATTTACAGCACATGCTGACGAAGGTTGCTCAATGCGTTGATGAGAGTTCGATAGAGAATGAACTGAGCTATTAAGGGACATCCGTTGTTGAATGACAGCCGGCATACCGACTATGTCATAGTTTGATGGATTCGTTGAAAAGTTTTGACTAATCTGCGGAATAGGTATGTAGTCCAAGGGCTGCATATTCTGCTGATGTCCGTGCTGTCCTCCCGATTGCGCAAACTGCAAGCTGCCTATGCCATCTTGTTGCTGTGCCTTCGATATATTTGAAACAGTACTCTGAGAGTGTTGATGGTGAGTATTTTGCGTAGTTCCGGCTGTCGGAACCTTAGAGTCCCGTTGCTGAGAATTATTTGATGAATTACTATTCCGAATTTGCTTGGGTGTCGGCTCTCGGTGTGATGCACTCGGGGAACTCGCAACAATATCCGTCTGCTAAAGGAGGCAAGATTTGTTATTAGTTCGTAACTTAAAAATTCATAGTTAATTAATGTTACCTGTTGTACTGCTAGTTTTCTATTTTGGTGCTGGTGCTGTGCATTGCCGATGATGTTCAAATTGGGCGAGCCTTCTGGTGTTAAATTCATATTGATGTTGTTCTGCTGCTGGATATGTGAGTTCTGGATGGACATGTGCATGGGCGTCGTGGCCGACTGATTTTGCATGGAACAGTCGGAGAACTGTCTGTGCATGAGTCCATTTGTGTTTTCCGATCCATGATTGACGGCACTGCCAATACTTGCTGGCGAATCCATATTTATTTGCACATTAATCCCACAATCATAGTGCTGCTGTATGGGTGCATTGTTCGAGGCCGACTCTGAGTTGTACGGCATATTGGTATTAACATCAGATTGACCGCTAACTTGCAAATTTGAATGGTTATTGACCGATTGCAGAATCGGTTGAGTTACTTTAATTTTATCGTCTCGTGTAGCGCCTAGAGCTATGTTACTACTGTGCTCCGATTTCTGTTTTGTGGGCGCGGCAGAAGGCTCGCGGCTCAAAGAACTTGATAGCAGAATTCCCGACTCCGCTTGGTTTGCATTCGCGTGTCTGGCTATAGGGTTTTGAGCATTGTCTATGGCCTTGATTTGCTGGTTATGATCCGTTGCTTTAAATTGTTTTTGTTGGTTGGAGCACTTCTGGTCATAAATGTTGGCCTGGTTGACATTGTAATCATTGCAGTTGAGTGCATGGCCGTCGTCTCTTGCCGTGTTGCCAGTGCTAATGTTGGCTGCTGCCTTCGCCAACTCCTCCTTTTTGCCGCTTATTTTTCGATCCACCTTCTGCTTATCCTTTGGGTGGTGCATCTGGTGATGGGCTTGCATTGCCAAGTTCGCCGACTGGTACAAGTTCTGTGTGAAGTTGTGCGTGTAGGCCATTGTTGTTGCCAGGTCTTTGTGGAATTGTTTTTGACCTTTCTGGGTGGCTGAATTACACAGATTATAGCTGTAATAGTCCCATTGCCAGTACTGCGAAGTGTGATGGTAGTTGGGCATTTGATTGATTGGGAACTGAGAAGTTAAAGAGTTTTGCAGCTGGGGATGTTCGTTGTTTTTCAGTTGATGTTTGTCCCGTATTGGCAATGAGGACGACGGGACGCGCACATTGGGCTTTTCCTCTTCTTTGACTTGCAGTAATTGGGTCGGTTTATTTGTGTCCTTATCTGGAACATTCATTTTACCGGTATTTGGAGCATCTGGTTTTTTACACAACGCATTGGTATTGGTATTCTCGGTCCTCGCTACCGAGGTTTCCAAAGCCGCCTTTTTATTATTTATTTTCTGCTTTGTATCCACCTCTTGCACTAGGGGCACTTCTGTCTTCAATGGGATCAGCTTTTCGTTTGTTGTATTTACCTTGTCAGCTTCAGTATTTAATTGCCGAGTGCATTTAACAGCAATGGGAGGAGCTTCGGGAATCTTCGTTTCCACTTGCTCAGGAATAACACAGGGCTTACTCTCCACTTTAGTCTCCTTAGTATCCAAGTTTTTTGTGACAACTGTTTCCAAGGGCTTTGGGGTAGTAGAAACTGGAGCGGCTACTGGAGTGGGCGCTGCGGCAGTCACTTTTTCTGTAGGAATAGGAGCCTCATCAGGTTTTATGGGTTTTTCCTCTGAGCTCTTAACTATTGGATCTTTGATTGGCTCCAACTTTTCTAATTTTTCCAATTTTTCTTCATTCACAATAGGGGCCGTTTCAGTACACTCCACTACTGGTGCAACTTTAGCGCTTTCAGGAGCAGCCTTGGGATTAGTGGGAACTTTTTCTTCAATTTCCATTTCCACAGGAGTCACTAAGCTGGACTCTTTCTGAGGCTCGATGTTTTCCTTAACTGGGATTTGGATTTTCGACTCGATGTTTGATACGCTTTCAATTACCATTTCAGTTTCAGTTGGCTTTGGCTCAACTTTGCATTCGGGAGGTGTATTCTCAGTAGGCTTTATTTCAAACGGAGTGGTTTCGGAAAATAATGCCTTCTTCGTTTTCTTTGCGACGGCATCGTAGACCTGTTCCGCGCAGTAATCATTTGGGGTCTTTTCTTTTTCAACTGTTTGGGGCTCTGGCTCGGTTTCCTGCTTATCCTGAATGATTTTCTTCACCTCGGCGTTTTCGCTCTCATTCGATGGAATTTTATTACAATTTTGACTCCCAGTTTTACTTTCTTCATCGCGTTTTCCATTTGATTTTTTACCTCGCAACTTAGGCACAATATTAACAGGCTTCGTAACATTAACATCCTGGACAGTAGCTCGTTGTAAGACGGAACTTTTATCTAAAGTTTCCTTAGTATTCTGTTGATCGGTTTGACTTGGAACATTATGTTCCACATGATCAACATTATTATCTCGCTCAAAATGTTTCCTTTTGTTGGTATGAGGAATACTGTCCTTTCGCTTAGCAAGACGCAACGCTCGCTTAGTCAACATATTGAATTCGGACGACTCTGATGACTTCTTAGAATACTTGCTGTCAGAAGAATCGGAGTTTTCTGTTATATCTTCAAAGGCACGTTTACATCTTTTTGCTTCAGTTTGTGGTAATTGTGTAGTTTCCGAGTGTGAGTCCTTTTTAATGTGACTTATCTTATCTGTACTTTCACTGGTCGGCTTAAATGTTCTGTTTAAATCTTTTTCCTTATACGATTCAGTCGTTGAATTTGCTGGAGGCTTTGTAGTTTCCTCTGGTTTGCTTTTACAAAAATCATCATCTGAAGTTTCCATATATTGATGGCTCAAATATTCCCTGTTAGATATTGGTTTTATATTAAAATTTGGTGATTTTGAAACCGACATTAGCGGACTCCATCTGAGACAATCGGCTTCAATAAATATTCGTGTTTTGCTCTGAGCTCTCTTTTTATGATGTAGTAAGACCTTTTTCCAATCTATTTTCACATTGATTTGGTATCTTATGTCTCCGTCATTTTTTCTTAGTTTAATGAAGTTTAGCAACTCAAATGCCAAAGCAATATCAGAAATAGCTAAGCCCGTTTTTATTGCTATATCTTTAAATGTTATTGTCCGATTATTTCGGTACTTATACAAGTATTCCAGTACAACCGATTTCCAGTATGAAAAGTACGAAAGACGTCCAAGATCAGAGAGTGGTTTCTCTGGAGTACCCAGCTGTCCTTCCTCCCGGCTAAGCAAATAGCTAAAGTCAATCAAAAATCGCCCATATCCTTGCCTTTGATATTGAGGCAATGTCAGAATACATGATACATTGTACTTTTGCGAGCAGTGTTTCTCCTTTGAAAAATATCCAACCAGATGACAGCCAACCTGATCATTCTTAGTCAAGATGTAAAATAGAAAGGGCTCCACATCATAGTAAAGGGTTTTGTGATCCAAAAAGAACTTTGCCAGCAGGCATAAATTTTGACAGTAAATTTTGTTAACATTTCCATCCACTTCAAAAACAGATATATCGCCTTGACGGAAGATTTCAGTTCCAGGCGGTTGCTTCCAAATACACTTATTTTGATGTCTATCCAATACTGATCGACTCTTTGTATACTTTAGGCAGAATTCACACAGGTAGAGTTTTGCCAGCCTAAAATGAAAGAAGGCATAATTATCAATATATTGATATAATATATTTCATAAAAATGTGTCTTAGCTAATCTTTTAACTATTTCTCAAAATTATTCCACATAAAGATTTGCCAACTTGATATTTTAGTTTGGAATAAATGCAAAATAATGATAATTTAGGAATTTACCTAGCATACTCCTGTGGAAATGGACTTGAGTACCATGTTTCAATATTCCATTTTCCAATTTCAATTGATTTGGGACTTTGTCCACAGTGAATCAAAGAATTACTTTTCTCAAGAGGCATTTCGGAATGGTTTGCAGAAACTTTAAGAACAGCTTTTTGCAACACTTCTTGATATATGTTAACATCAAATTGATTCACGCCAGGTGGTAGATGTTGATTTTCTATAAGTAAAAAATTTATTATTTAATTGAGTACATATTTTCTTTTTTTTTTTTTTCAGCTATTTAAATAGGTACTTTTTATGTTTGGCGTTTAGCCAAACTTAATTAATATAAATAGAAGCTGTATAGTTACGAAGATCTAATTACTTTGCCTTGCTTGTAAAAGGTATTTTTATGAAACAAAATTGTAGTCTGAGGCATTGGCAAACCCTTAATTAAAATTTTTTCTTTAGGTACGTAAACTTAATTTCATTTCTTTGTTAAATTATAAAATTTTAGTTAGATTTTAAAAAATTATGTTTGTAAATAGACAACTAATAGAACTTGTCTATCGACGTCAATAAAGCAAACTATAAAATTGGGATTATTGGCACTATCTTAACGTTCAAATGAAGCATTCATATAATTATAATTACATATACGATAGTATATTAATTGTCAACATACCAAACAATTTAGTAGGGCCAACTGTGTCCACATTTTCATCCGCAGGATTTCCTATACAATTGAAATCCGTATTATTGCTTATACTTGATTCGACTGGCTTCTTCCGTGATTCTGGAAATTGTTGTTGGTCCTCAATCATGCGACATTTTAAAACAGTTTCTTTGGTAAGATAAGGAATATCATCATCATTTTTCATGTATAACTTGGTGGATTCCAGTGGCATAGATTTTAAGATAACTGTTCTCTTTTTTTCCACATTTCCATTGCTTCGCTTGATTGGTAAAGTACCGTTCACAACATTATCAGACTTATCCGATACGTATTTGTTAGGTTTATTTGCATCGATTGCTTGATTAGCAACAGGCTGGTTTGAATAGCTCATGGTTTTAAAATTCTTGATATATTTGTCATCGACTGGATTCTTAGCAACGGCAGCAAATCCCCAATTTTCCGAAGATGCGTCAACTAAACTATTTGCGTCATTGGACGATGATCGGAAATCAATGTTCTTCTCGTTTTCAAATATATTCTCTTTGAATGTACTCTTGTCCGTATCATAGTCCTCCTCATCATTGTCATCATCGCACTCAGAGCTATCACTCGAGCTATCGCTTGAGTCTGATTCAGAGCTGGAGGAAGTGCATGAATCGGACGACGTGCTCTCATCTTGGTCATCGCACGCAGCATTCTTGTCATCGTCATCATCCTCATCATCGTCGCTTTCGCTTGAAGTAGTCGTAGATGATAAGTCCGAATATGTACGCTTTCGACTGATTTGATTAATGATCGTATCTCGATATATCTTTTTCTGTTTCATCTGAGCCTCATAATTATTAACCGCAATACTATTTTTCTTTCTTTGCTTGTGGCCGGCAACATTGTTTACACATTCTTGGGACGTTGATGGATTTTCTAGTCGCTCTTCTCTCTTAATCATCTGCCGCTTGCAGTTGGAATGTGGTTTTTGAGAGACATTCGAATACGATACATTTCTGCAAAAGAGAAACAAAATTTAGTATTATGTTATAGATATAGTTTAGACTCTAAACTGCCATAGTTCTTGGGCTTACCTCTCATTATCATGCTCCAGTTTTATGTTTGTTGCTTCCCTTTTCAACGATTTTGGGTGATCAACGTTTAGGCACGATTTGCATCTGAAATGAAAATAGTCCATTTATTGAATTTATATA